TCCCAGCTCTACACGACCTGTGTTTGCAAAGTTATAGAATTTACAAGAAAAACCCTAAATTAATTTCTTCTTACTGTAGCTTTGAGCTGACAATGAACATTTAGGACTTTTCTGATAAATTCTATAACTTTGCAAATACAGGTCGTGTAGAGCTGGGAGATGTCTCATTTTAATCAGAAATGTGCGGGCTACCATCATGTCTCATTAAGAAAGGTTTTAGTTATTTTTTAGAGTTCTTGAAAAACTGGTTTTTCAGAAAACCGGGTCTTCAAGAGTCAGGGACAGAAATCATTTTAGAGTCTTTACTACCTCACTAAGGTCTATCGATCCATGTACAAATCATTGGAATCGAAAGGGGACATCTCGAAAGGTTCTCTAGTTGGTTGTATTTGGCAATACTAGTAACTAATATCGATGATTTACTTGTGTAAAAATAATTTTATAAAAATATGTCTGTAAACACACGGTCGGTTTAATGATGCATTTTGGACATTACGTGGTGACAGATCCATCTCGAAAGGTTCCCTCGCACGTGGAAAATTCTCTGAATGTGGTTCACGGAAATGAATAATATTGTTGTAACCATGTTAAATGTAGACTTTGTGGCGAAAATGAAGAATGAATAACATATGCCCCGTCATACCAATGAAATATCGAAACTATCAAGTCATCTCCATGTTTCCAATTCGTCAGAAAAAGATTAATTGTTAGAAATGTACATACATATTCATTATTTCACTTATCGTGTGGAAATTTTGACTTTGCTAAGTTGTAAATGTTGTTGACGGCTTTTTAACTACCACAAGCAAAGTAACCAACTACTTTATTTTTAAAAAAAATTGTCAACAACATGTTACAACTTAGCAAAGTCAAAATTTCTATACGATAAGTGAAATAATGAATATATATGGAGTCCTTCGAAGACTTATGTATCAGACGGTCCATCATCAACGAAAAAATATCTGTGCTCAAAACAATCTTTTCAATTTCAACCGTGTTCTTTTCTGTCTCCGTACCCATTTCTGCCAACATATGGTTTAGTTGAGCACGGATCATATTCAAGTAACTCTTCGTTCACTGATAAACACAAGAAACTATTTCGATCTTCTGATATTGTTAGTGCCAGAATCCATTTATCTTTGAGAGTCTCAAGACAGATACATCCGTTGCTCACATTTGGGTTATAAATTTTTGTTATGAATATCTAACAAAAATCAATTACTAAGCGAAAAATTATTTTGATTTCTTCTACTCTTGCCTGCTTAAACTAAACAAAACACAACAACAAACAATTCGATTTGATTATCCGAGCTACAAGAATTTCAAATCTAGCCGAATAGTCTTCTGGAAATTGAATATCAAGTCTGAACGTTTTTGACATAGTGTACCCTTCTGAAATGAAAACATTCAAAATCAACAAAATAATTCGTAATCAAGAGAATTTGTATGATCTCTCGTTATATCTCTAACTAGTGAAAAGTTTATATTTAAAAAGACTACCAGAAACATCGAATATTTTTAAATATTCTCGTATATCAGTGTGTTCAAGAAAATATCAAATTCATGTTTTTTCAATCAGAATGGAATCAGACTATAATATACTTATTATTTGCCTTTCATAATCGAACAGTTATTACGTTATTATACAATCACATTTGAGATGAAAAGATTGGCTCGAGGATATTCTTACTTTTTTCATAGAAACTAATCATGCACAATAAATATGTCAATAGAGAGTGTTTATTAAAACATGTTATTTATCGTATAAGAAAGAATAGAAGCATAAGTACTCATGACGATGAACTAAAATTTAATTCAATTATATTATAGTTTTTCAATTTAGTCATATATTATCGATACAATTTGTTTAGTGTTATACAAAAAAAGCATGATTATTTAAATTTCTTCGATCTGATTTATTTTCAATTTTTTAACACATGTTTTGATATAAGAGCGAGAAACGTTTTAATTTGTTGACGAATCAGAAGTGAGACAAAGAAATCTTACATCTTCACAAATTAGAATCCTATGGAGTAATTCCATTAACTATTTAAAACATTTTTTTTGTATTTTAAACAGAATCAGATTAGGTTTATACAACGAAAAATGCGCTATTAAACAGATGGATAGATGTGAGTTTCTTCTACATATTTATGTTAAAACTGAACTCTTTTGCATATCGATAAGAATCGGCAAAAATTGATTAGAACTAACCAATATTCTAAATTTCTTCAACTTTTTTAAATGTCAAAAGTTCGCAATGAACTTTCTAAAATTCTTGTTTGATTATTAAACATTGAAGAAAAAGTTGAACTGTTATAATATTCTAAAATATTTTGAAGTAAAAACGAAATTTGATCAACATTATTATAGTACAATATCTCGTCTTGTTTCATGGTTTTTCTAGAAAACTAAGTCTGTTTAAAATATCAAAGACATAAATATCTCACAAGATGAACTTTGCTCTTTAAAATGAAATAGTGTTTAATTTTATTCGCTATTTTAATTGAGAGTAATTATAAAAACAATTCTCTAACACGCTTCTTCTGTTCAAATGCATTCGATACACAATGTTTAAGTTCACTTTACGTCACTTTTACTATACAGATAATAATCATTTATAAACAGAGAATTATGATCTTCTTTAGGTACTCATTACTGATTGGGCTACAAATCCCGATCGAGATAATTTGTATAGCCTGATCGGTCTACAAATCCCGATCGAGATAATTTGTATAGCCTGATCGGTCTATATAATCAATCGATCATTTTTCTGGCCTCCGCTTAACAATCAAATAAAAAACAGACAATGTCATTTGAAAGAGGATTCAAAACTAATTCAGATTCTATGGGGATCGGCTATATGCATCGTTTGAGGTACTGCATAAAAATTCGATCAAAAATCGCGTATTTTGATCGGGATATAAAATATATCCGGTTTTTGATTTTTTTAAAAAACTTTCGTTTTGAAAGAAAAATAAAAACTGATAACTGGAATACAAAACGCCATCGGGCAGAGCACTCAAAACTGCATATGAATTCATGGAGACCGCCAAAGTATCGAATGCTGATATCCATTTCAAAATATAGTATCTGTAGCTATTGTTGACATCATTCCAGAATGAAGAGAAATAGAGACCTGCAGTTTTCAACATTTTGTGGTGGAGGCTTTACTGCATTTTGATATATGGGGGATTTTACGAATCGGATTTCCAGGCGGTGTACCCGACATGTGAAAAAAGAAGAGATTGCGAGGTATCGAAAGTAAAATAATTTTTTCACTAAAAACTTTTAATTTTTCACTTAAGACTTTTAAGCCTCACTTAAGATAATCAGTGGATGATCATATTTACTTTCAATACTTTTTTGAACATGTTTAGTAATATAGTCCAATCGGGATACAACGATATCGGATTTGAATCTTGATTGTATTCCAATTGAGATATGTATCCCGTTTAGGATAAACTCTATATGCCGATCAGGATAAATAACCCCGTTCGGGATATAAGTCATGAGACCGCACTGTCTGTTTTAATACAATTTTTCTCGGAATAAACCTAACGAAACTCTGTCAGAAATACTGCAAAAAATTTTTAATACTAATTTAAAATAATTTCATCTAGTAAGAGATAATTAGTTTGCTAACAAAAAGGAGGCGATGTTTTATCTTATTATTGATTCTTCAATTTTTTATTTAATTTATTATGTTTCGTTACAATTCGTCATGAATAATATTATAATATAAGCCAGACGTGTCAATTTATTAGTTAAATTTTCTTCAGTGACAAAAACAATAAAAGAAAATAAATTTAAATTTAAATTAGATCAAGACATTTTTAAAAATATTAAACATTAGTTATCACAAGTAACTTTTTACAAGTACATAAGATGTTAACAATAAAATTATTGTACACATATGACGAAACATGTATGTATGTATGTAGTGAAATTCTGTTTCGTCATATGTGTACAATAATTTTATTGTTAACATCTTATGTACTTGTAAAAAGTTACTTGTGATAACTAATGTTTAATATTTTTAAAAATGTCTTGATCTAATTTAAATTTATTTTCTTTTATTATTTTTGTCACTGAAGAAAATTTAACTAATAAATTGACACGTCTGGCTTATATTATAATATTATTCATGACAAATTGTAAGCAAACGTAATAAATTAAATAAAATTAAAGTTTTATCGGTATTCGTATCTAAATTAAGAAATATTGATTCTTTCATCTTCGTTTACCAAACGCTATTACGTGTATGAAAAAAAGAAAATGACATTAAATTCTTTTCTTTTCCTTTTTTTTTGTTTGTTCTTATTTTCTTAAAATGAATTAAATTCTTGCAATTTGAATATTATACAATAGAAAGTGAAATAATTTCATATCACGTGGTGACATTCCATGAAATGAAATTGTAAAATTACTACAACATTTTTCTCCTTGTTTTTGATCAAATTGTGAATTTGTTTCAATCCAACGTGAAAATTTGCCTAAAAAATGTTCTTCAAATGTCATTGGATGAAATGTTTCCAATTGATTATGATCTCGAGTATTAGTTACAAATATATTTATACGAGCTAAACAATAAGCAAGATTAATATCTTCTGCTTCATTATCACGACATAATTTACGTTTTTCCGGTTTATTTAATATTTGTGAACCTAATTTTAATAATGTTGATTGACTTAATACATAACCGGCACCACCTGATGGATATGAACGATCACGAATTTTAGCTATAAAACCATAATAACCGGTTGTATTCGATAATTTTCGACGAAGAAAATGACGTAAATTTTCAATAATTACATATGTATCATCATCTGCTTTTAAAAACCAATCATAATCATTAATATAACGTTTATATAAATAAAGTAATGAACGTAAAACTTTTTCACTTAATTGATTATATTTTTCTAATTTTTCACCTCCAATATAAGCAATTGAAAATGGATATATTGTACGATTTAATGGTTTTTCTACACGTTGACCACCAAGAATAAATATTGTACGATCACAACGTTTTGCCCATGTTCTGTAGAATAATGAAGAGTAAATAGTGTATAGTATTTAATTTTCAAAAAATAATTGAAATAAAAATAAAAAATAGAAGAAAACTAATTTAATCTTAATGTACAAAAAACAAACAAACAAATATATATGAATGACACTTACTCATGTACAACAAGTGCTCTATCTAATCTCTCATACGTTGTAGGTATCCAACATAATATACGTGGATTATATTGTAAAATATTTAATGTATCATAATTAATTACTGAATTTAAACGTTGTTCAATAATAGAACTATATGAATGATCTAATATATTATTTGTATCTATTTTATTTGTATGACACGTTTCTGTAATAAATAATGATGTGGAATTTAATGAAAGATAGGTAAGAAATAATATGGGTTGAATTAATAATAATAATAATAAACAATAGATTATAAAACGATGATTATGAGTTAAAAATCGTGAATTTAAACGGAAAGACATGTAATCATATTCATTATTTTCTATTTGTTAACTATTATTTCTAATTATGTTAAATAAAAAAACAAAACATTTTTTCTTTTTTTGTATTTTTCTTTTTTTCAAAAACATAAACATAAAAAATATACAAATATCATATTTATATCTAAAAATGAAATATTATTTTCATCAAGAAAATGATGTTCTATCAATAATTTATTTAAAAAATAAAAAATAAAAAAAGAAGACAAATCAGGAATTGCAATGTGAAAAAATTAAAAATAAAGAAGAAATACACCCGAAGATGATTTATTGTAGAATATGTATGTTAAATCTTAGATGAAAGAGAAGAGTCAAGAAAAAACGTACACTTTATTAAGCTCAAATTAATATGTGTATTTATATATGTCTATATATATTTATTTTGACTAGTATTTTTAGAATAAAAGTAAAAAAGAGAGCAACAAATGTTTAATACATATTCTGTCGAAGGAGTATATATATATAACACTCCCATCAATATCAAAAGAAGAAAAAAGAGAAAATGAACTTTATAATATGTTTTATTAATATGTATATATGCGCGTGCTTATAATTTCTCACAATTGTGAGATCATATAGGTTTCAAAGGTAAAAATAGAAGAATATTATTATTTTTATTTTTTTTTCTCTTTCTCATTAGTTATAGATTAATAGATTAAACCAATAATGATGAAAATTATAAAATATGTCTGTTTTTTTAAATGTTTTTTTATAGTCATTTTTCATTTTTAACAAAAAAAAAAAAAAAAAAAACACATACAAACAACATCAATCAGAAAAAACAACGACAACAACAAACGCCATTTCAAATGTGTACGTGTATAAATGTGTATATGTAATAGAAATGAAATGAAATATGAAAATAAGGGTAGAATATCGCGTAAAACTGTATCAAGTGTATAACAAATAACAAATTAAACAATAACAAGTAGTGAGAGAAAAAGAAAAAAGAGTTTTCTCTAGACACAAATATACCGTACAATTTTAAAATTTGATTTTCTTTGTTATATTATTATATTCAAACTGTGATAATACAAAACAGAATAGAAATGGTCACCATTTCTTTTTTAGAATTTAAGTACGTTGATGAAAAAGAAAAGGTGTTATTGTACAATACAATTTGAACAACAAACATTGGACAACGTTATAAGTGAGTAAAATATGTCAAAAAAAAAGAAAAATCTCCTAACAAGGTCAAATATTTATTACTTCTAGTCTATTTTCTTCTAAAAATAATATTAGATAGATTAGAAATTATTCTAAACAATATCTTTCAAAGATATCAAAATAGATTATAATGAAACGTGTATTTTTTTATCTTTAAACTTTTTTTTTTTTTTGAAAATAAGATAATAAAAAATTTGCTTATAATATTTTACATCTTTTATATACGTTTTTCTAACATAACATAAACTCAATGAATGAACGCATTGTGTAAACAAATAAATTATGAGCAAAGCAATTGAAATTTGTCAAGAACTTTCATATTTTTTTCAAAAAGAAGAAAATTTGTTTTGTCGTCGGTACAAATGAAATGAAACATGAAAAACAGTAGATGTATTTTCAAAAGAGATACTTGAAATTCAATGTGTTTGAATATGTGTTCAGAATAAAGAAAGAAGAACGAAAAGAAAGAAAAAAAAAGAAAAATGAAACAAAGTGTTACCACTTAAACATATGAAAATACAAACATAATTTTTTGTTTAGTTCGCTTCCTATGTTATGTGAAGATGGTGATGGTGAGAGTGGTGACAGCTATTTTGTTTCGTTTATACAGCAACATAAAAAGAGAACAGTTAATACATAGAAGCAGAACACTTGATTATTATATAATTGTGCTTGTTCAATCGTAATGAAAAAGAAATATGTATGAATATTTAATGCCTTAATATAATAATATACATATGTTCTAAATCTACAAATTTGTGATAACTAATCGCCTTCTCTGCTTCCATTAACACATTTAAATTTATTCAAGTAATATTCATAACAAAACTAGTATTAACAGCTCTTAGAGTGAAACATTAAAAAAAAATTTGATAAAAAATTCTTTAAAGATTAAATCAATTGAACATTGTCAATATCAGTCAAATTAAAAACGAAGAGGAAGAAACGAGATACAATGAAATAATAGTTTTCAACATTAGTTTATATCATAAATAAAACATCTGTCTACTTCTATCCCAATAAGGAAATTCTTTGTTATATACCCAGAACAGTTTTTCAGAAAAACGGATATCTTTGTCTTTTGTATTATACTCATTACATATTACACAATGATTTTATATAGAATTTATTTTTAATGTTTATACTTATTCTTTCCATTTTCTCAAATAAGTTATTAGTCTATCTTATATTTATTTATTAGAACATTGAATATTCATCAATAATTAATTTGTTTCTCTCAGTCTGAAATTGACTTATCATTGACGCTATATTGCTGGACAATATGCAGTTATTTAATTCAAAAGGGCTAAAATATCAAATCACTCGTTGTTAATCAATTTTGATAAAATGATTGCTCACGCTTCTACTAGTATTGAACAATTTCATAGTATAAGCAATTGGTGTTGGCGAGCTTTTATATAGGATTAATTATCGAGTTGAACATGATTTACTAAAATTCTGTAATAAATCTAGTTTAATCTTTACTAATACAACACTGTATTCCACACTGATTAATATCAGGAATTACTCGTGATATATTCACATACGGATTGAAATTCAAATAAGATTTAAATTGTACGTCATTTTGAAATTAATTTCTCCACGTTGGTTTCATATAGTTATAAATCGTGTTTGACGCTTCATTAGAAGTCTTTTCGCATGCTGATGATGTGAATAATACAGAGTTGATTTTGCTCGCTTAACTGTCATTATGGTCTAGGATCCAGTAATTAAAGATGATAAACTCGTTTTAATCGCTGTAGCTCGTTGATAATGTATTTTGTTGTTACTCCTTCCTAATCAAATACTTTTAATTGCTGACTAGTTATCGCAGACCCTTTAGTGTTGCATGGTGTCATTTTCTTCATTTACTGGACAGACATTAACAAAGCTTGTATTTTCGCAAAAAATCGCGAATGAATGCCTTCAATTTTGTCGTATTTGATGTAAGAACATAAACTATCCCTTAATTTAACTTCTCTGTATAAAAATTGCAACGTTTTCTCTCATCAGATGTACACGAAATTAATAAAAGAAGCGGAAACGCGATTGTCAAATAAAAACTTCAAATTTTTTAACACAATGAAACAGTCAAAACCAATTTTACTCACTGATAGTGTTATTTTTTATTATTGATTATTCTGCTCACTGCTTCTCTCGTTTAATTAAACTGTTTATAATACGTATCTAACAAATTACTTTCTGGTCAGAAAGAAACAAATCGACATTTGGTCTTCATCAAGAGACTTTTCTATGATCATTTCACAGGTTTCAAGATAGAATTATAGGAATTAACACGTTAGACAAAGTCATTTTTAAGAATTCTCATGTACACTACTTGTGATATTAATTCAAATTAAGACAGTCTGTTAAGGAACACTTAGATAATAATAAAAATACATACCGGTGCAGTTAAGTGACAGTACTTCGACAGGGGAGTGATCATTTCTGTAGTCATTCTTCTTCCGATGACATCTTATGACTGGAATGACCTGTTGCGAAGATCAATTTTAAAACACTAGAATATCAAAATTAGATTTTCGATATAAAAAAACGATTTATGGACAAAAATTGAGAAAAGAGGCTAAGCCAGTGACACCTCTAAAAATGCATGGATAAAAATTGACTTTAGTCAAGAAAATATTAGAGGTAGGTGAACAAAGTTTTCTTAATCAAGAATCCGATTAAGAAGTACTGTCGAGTTATAATATCGCTCCGAGTAGACACATATTCGTGCTAGACAGAACAAATTTTTTATAAAATATTTTAGCTATCTGATTTTTTTCACTGTTATTAAAGAAAAATGGCGACATAAATAATCACTAAACGGTGGAAGTACCTATTTGTGCATGCCAATGAAACACTAAAATACAAAAACAAACAACAACAAAGTTGTAGATCAAAGTTCTTTAAAAATGACTTACTATCATCATTTTTTACTGGCTCAACACTGATAACACACAGAGGGTCTTTCTTGAAATCCATGATTTTCTCAATCGAACAATATTTTTTCTTTTTCTTCGATTGACTCCAATAAATTTCAAAATAAGTTTATACTTTTCCAATTCTTCTCAATGCCATCTAAATCTGCAACAAAATAAAAGAATCCCTGAAACCGGTCAACAAACAATCAAATGTGATGGGATTCAAAATTTCGACTCGATCTATCTTCACTAGATATATCGAGCTGAGCGTTCAATTGTCAAAAGTGCTCATTCATCAGGTATTATCCCATTCACTATCATTCTCGCCCTCACTGTAGAAGTGAGAAACATCAGTTAAAGGAAGAAAAAAGAAAATTCGCAAACACAAACGGTACGGTCTCGTGTTCTTAGTCATTGTTGAGATACAATTTTATTTCCATTTCGATTTGCATTGGATAAAAACGCAGCCATTATATAGTCATACACCTCAGTGTTACTAGCGCCCTCCTCTGCCACCGTTGCCACAATGACTCTTCTCTAAGGAGTGCATCATTGTGATGACGTTTAAGATCGCAAAGTACAAATTTTGTGTATCACAAGGTTTTATTTCAACTGAACTAGTACAAAGAGAGCACAACAAGAGAAATCGTTATGTCGACCATTGTGGTCTAAAAAAAGACACTTAAATGTTTCTGCTAAGCATTAATGATTAATGAAAAGAACAAGTAATTGACAAATAAACAAAAGTTTACGATCTCAGGGTGTTTAAGGATCTTCATAATACAGTTATTTTTCTTATTGTGGGGATCATTGAAAGTTAGTCTAGCATCATGGCCTTCTGTGGTCAAGATCAGCTAATATATCAGGCGAAATCCATGGAGACAAAACCAG